AATGTTGTTCGTTCACTACTGATTTAAGTGTAATGTAATTAACGTTGTTCGTTCACTACTGATTTAAGTGTAATGTAATTAACGTTGTTCGTTCACTACTGATTTAAGTGTAATGTAATTACATAACACGATGCTGTTGCTGCATTTAATATGTTTGCATCATCAATTTGAAACTGAATTTATATATATATTGTATGTTACCATAGGACAAGTAACCCCATTGTTTATGTAACATACTCTTTTTTTTTGAACAGGTGGCAACTAATACAGAAACAAGTAAAAACGTTGGCAATGCTATCCTATATGAAACTGTGCTATCTATCATGGATATCAAATCGGAGAGTGGACTTAGGGTAAGGAAACAAGTTTGACAGAGTAGAAGAACTTGTAGATAAGTTTATAACAAACTGATATTGAGGAACTAAAAGAATAGATACAATACAAAATTAACCATCTAAAGCTTACACTGTAGATGTAAGGTTTAACAGATGTTGATAATAAGAAGTATAACGAGGTACGAGACTGGAGTATACCAGCTTACGAAGCCAGTCAAAATACTGATATAACTACTTGTATTACCCAGTCAACTTTAAAAATGTTCAAATATTCATAGTATACAAACAATCAATTTAATTCATCACTTTCAGATATTGTTTGACTTTATAAATCTATTTAGATGTTTCCGAGGTGCTATAAGGTTTATTTACTAAAAACATTACTTGTCATTCTGATATATTGTAATTGTTTTTTTCATTGTGATTGGTAAATCTCGTGTTGTTGGAGACATCTAAATAACTAGTTTCATTATTTAAATTGGTTTTAAATTACTAGGATGTTTTAATGACAAGAGGTGGCTAAGAGCTTGGCTCCAGTTTTGGTCTGGATAATGGATACATTATAGTGAATAATTCAGTTTAGAAGGGTTTGGTATGTTTTTGAATTTTCCAGTTAAGATATTTGTATAGAGTTTTTGTAAGTTTATATAATTTAAAGTGTGCTCAATAAATATTTTTACATACATTAGCAAAAGATGGAGTAGTCAGTTCTTTTTTCTTTCTTTTATCAGGTGTTATATAATATTCATAGAATTTGTTTAAAAAAGAAAAATTATGAAGTATTTAAGGAAAGTCTGATTTATGGTTTTGTGCCTTTTGATGAATGAACTCATACTGAGATAATTTACCTTCAGTTTAAAAGTTAAAATTTTGTAAAGTAAGCCAGATATTGGTATTACAGAAACTTTGTGTGTAGAAGTAAAAATAATATAACAATGACAGATAAAATTCGTTATTTATTTTATTTGTACCTCTTATACAGGTTTTAGGTGTGAATATCCTTGGTCGATTTCTTCTGAATACCGACAAGAATATCAGGTAAATCGGTTTCCTGTGTACCATGTCGAACCATTTAGCTTTTCTTACACGTCAGTTCCCGTAAAACGGTGACGGTACACGTCGTAAACAATCTTGTGTGGTGTAAGAAGATCAAGTGATCACTGAAGTATAAGTGTATTTTACAAATAAAGCTAGTTGAACATGTATGAAAACTGCTTGGGATAGTTCCAGTTGCAGTTTAAATATGTCTTTTCTAACATATAATTAATGAACTCAGGGTTAACTTTATGGATTATATGGAACTCTTCTGTTTTACTTAGTGATTACGTAGTTTGAACCTGAGGGATTAGCTGGACATACTGCATATTGCTGGAGAGAAGATTACACATTCACGTAGTTTAGTCCACCCGATAGACTATTTGTGTTTCAAACTGCATGAAATTGATAGTCTGTGTGTAAAGATACAAGTTATTTCAATGAGTTGTTAGATTGATAAAAAAATAAAATCTTAAAGATATAATACTACTACTTCTGATATTTTAGTGATTTCATATACCTGTAACGTAATGTATTTTATTAGATACGTTGCCCTAAATACGCTGCTGCGTACTGTGAATGCTGATTACAATGCTGTCCAACGACATCGGAACACTATAGTAGAGTGTCTTAAAGATCCAGATGTGTCTCTGAGAAGGTAAGGGAAGTATATCTGGTTGTATCATTGAGAAGGTAAGGGAAGTATATCTGGTTGTATCATTGAGAAGGTAAGGGAAGTATATCTGGTTGTGTCACTGAGAAGGTAAGGGAAGTATATCTGGTTGTATCATTGAGAAGTGCAGTTTTCACAAGTATGATTATTTGAATGTTCTACAAAGAAAAGAACTTAACATGAACGTGTTATAAGAAAGAATCTTAGTTTCAGGGTAAAACTATTGTTATAATACATTTTTATACTTAAATATTATCCTGTGTTTCACATTGGGTGTCTTTAATAATTTTAGTTTTCAGTGCTTCTTTTGTTTCTATAGTTATAATTCATTGGCTAGTTTCTAGGTATGGGTGTAGCCAAGTGGTTAGTGGGCCAGGCTGTAGATTGGAATGTCCAAGAATCGAGCCATGATGCCATACTTTCAGAGTTCTGCCATTTTTCCCTGTCTCTAGTCGGCATTTCTAAATTGGGGGGTGGCTGTGTCTGAACCTTGGGACTGAATATTAAACTGAAAAGAACAAATACTATACTTGTGGTTTTATACGGCTCGAACAGGTTATGAAAATACCTGACATTAAATGTATTAGTAGTACTGGCATATCTGCATTTTTGTAAAAAATTAGTGTACTTATATGAATTTTTTTTAATTGAGTACAAAGTAAAATTAGTAATTACTGGAATTAAGAAAGATCCACAATTAAAATCTCAGAATTCTAGTTTTCAGAATTGTTTGTTGGTAGCTCGTAATAAAATCTTGTGATTCTACACATATATTGAAGTTGTTGTCATAATCGGATTAGTTTAATAAGTCACTCTGCTCCTCCTAACTATTCAACCATTACAATAAGTTATCAACAATTTTTCACTCTGTCATCGGTAGTTTTAAAAAGTGTTTGAAATCTTGTGAATAAAATAATGATACTACTTTTGAAAACAACGGTTTAAATTATTTGTAGACGAGCCATGGAGTTATGCTTTGCCCTTATAAATGGAAACAATATCCGAACAATGACTAAAGAACTTTTGACTTTCCTGGAAAAGGCTGATCCAGAATTCAAGTCCCAGTGTTCTTCAAAGTTATTTATCACTGCAGAAATGTAAGAAAGTTTAACTTTTTTATCTATGCTCCTTAAAAAATAGTTCCTGTATGCTAACAAATTTCACATTGAAAACAACAGTCCTGATAATAATAACTTTGTCTTTAGTGAAGGATTCAGATGTTTTCCAGAGAGAAGACAAAACAATAGATAATTTTGTCTTATCTGTGGTTCATTATTACACATCATGAAAGCAAATACTTAAATTTAGTTGGTCCTTTTGGTATTAAAAACATTTTTAAATGTATAATATTAATCCCTTGAAGATTTTTTGTTTTGTTTTGTTTTAATGCCCCAAACTTATTTTTACAGATCTCTGAGCAAACAAAACTTGTAGTGAAACACTGGAAAACGTTTTATTGTGATTTTTAATTTCTGTAAACAAATTCGTTAAGTTTCTAGAGGAGTGTAAGAGTATGTCTTAAATATTAAACTCCTTCGGAACGAAGGTTTACCAATTATCTCGCAGGAAATGCAGTTACACATTCTTCTTCGTGCCCTTTCATTGGTATATAATAAGAGAGAAAGTTATCTATCACTCTGAATGTTTTTTTTGTCAGTTTAACGAACCTTTGTTTTTAATATTTAGAAAGATTTCTGTAGTAAAAGAGGATTTTGAACATAATTTCTTTGATCCATCTACTCTCTCTCAATGTATTGTAATTATTAATATCACTTAAATAGAGATAATTTTAAATAGACATTGTGAATTTTCTATTGTAGGTATGCTCCCAGCAAGAGATGGCATATGGACACCATGATCAAGGTTTTGACAATTGTGAGTTTCTGATAAATTTCTTCCAAGTTTAGATTATGCTAGAATATACACTTCCAAATAAGATCCAAGTTTATGAATGGTTGTAATATTGGTTTTTGAAACTCTTTTTGTGTACGTGTTATGACTCTTATTCAGAATGATAATGATTGTTTCTTGAAGTTAGTAGGATTTTTAATGCTGTTTTATGTTGTTATATTGGTTAATAATAATTTACCAGTATTAGTAAGTCCATGTGTTGACAATAGTTTACCAGTACTAGTAAGTGATGTGTCAATAAGTTTACCAGTACCAGTAAGTCCATGTGTTAATAAATTTACCAGTACCAGTAAGTCCATGTGTTGACAATAGTTTACCAGTACCAGTAAGTCCATGTGTTAATAATAGTTTACCAGTATTAGTAAGTCCATGTGTTAATAATAGTTTACCAGTACCAGTAAATCCATGTGTTAATAATAGTTTACCAGTACTAGTAAGTGATGTGTCAATAAGTTTACCAGTACCAGTAAGTCCATATGTTAATAATAGTTTACCAGTACCAGTAAGTCCATATGTTAATAATAGTTTACCAGTACCAGTAAGTCATGTGTTAATAAGTTTACCAGTATTAGTAAGTTCATGTGTTGACAATAGTTTACCAGTATTAGTAAGTCCATGTGTTAATAATAGTTTACCAGTACTAGTAAGTGATGTGTCAATAAGTTTACCAGTACCAGTAAGTCCATATGACATTGTTTATAGGGTCCGTAATAACGTGTGAATCACACAATAAATGTCAACAAAATATCAATATTTTAATTGGTTCTTCAGAATCCTATTTACTTTACACAAGAAAAGTGATTTCACTCTGGTGTTTTGTCAGTTTTTATACTGAGTTATATAATAGGCAAAAACAAAAAAATTACCCAATATGATGCAATGTGTGAATTCCAACAATAGTGAACGGTAAGAAAGTCAATAACTTGAAGGTTCATAACCAGTTTTTCAAAACTGGTAATTTCTGTTTCCTAAAAATATTATAATTTAGAGTTGTTGTTTTTTTATCAAACAGGCAGGGAACTATGTTCCTGACGACGTTGTTGGGAACCTGATTCAGATGATATCAGAGACGACACCACTTCATGCCTACACTACCCAGCAACTGTGGAACAACCTGACGGGGGAATTGGCCACTCGTCAGCCCCTGGTGCAGGTTGCCAATTGGTGTATTGGTGAATTTGGTGATCTGCTGAACTCATCTGACGGTGCTGATGCTGAACCCGCCAACGTAAGTTTGTTTTTGTGTGAAAAATCATTTCTTTTTGTCTTGTGCTTAACTGGTGTTTACTTTTTTATTTTTTAAACAGTTAGCTTAATTTATGAAATTTTTTTAAAATTATGTTGTGTTTCTTCCTCAAGCACAGTTAATACGTATTTATGTTTGAATATTTTGACTCGTCACGCCCGAGTGTAATGTCAAAGTAAGGGGGGATTTGTTCAGGATTTTGACAAGATGTAAAGATGACAGAAGTCTACACATCAGAGAACCTTATTACTTAAGTAATTAAAACCTCAAATTGATGAAGTAGGATTGTCCACGAAATTATTAATGAAATTGTGATAATATCCATCAGAATGTTTCTCGATGTAATTAAGAGGGTATTGTGTTTTTATGAAGAAGAGGAGATCAAGACTGCTAATCGCTTCTCAGTACTCGAGCAAGAGGGCAAAAGAAATGCAAGTCCAATCTAGCATCAACAACCTAATATTTTAGTATAAAAATAAAGAATCTAAGTAACTTAATATTGTAAACTCGTAATAATTCTAAATTAATTAGAATTTTTCTAAGATGTTAAAAAGAATATTAACTGAACCTTAAGTAAATAACAAAATACAGAGAGCTTATCTTTCAGTTGTCTTTAAGGGTCTGGTTACCACTTGTCTAAGGATTCCTGTGTTGACACGGAGTTGACTGTGTGTTTCTTTTATCTGTAATTACAGACAGCGAGTTTATTAAATTGTTGTTTACTAGGCCTAATTTGTCTACTTTATTACAAGTATTTTTCATAAGAACCATAACACATATTCATATTTTTTCTCTCTCTGTGATATCTTTAGCAGCTCCTAAAAGTTTTTGTTTCAAGAGGCAGGTTACCTAGGCTCAGTAGCTTTCCACAGAATGTTTTGTTTAACCCTATCACAATGGGTCCCGTGTCAAGGGCCATGTCATTGCATTCAAAATTTTAATTAACAACTATTTTATGAATTTATGTCAATAAGTTTGGTATGAAATTGTAGATTATAACTCAAATTTTAGTATTATACATTATTTAATTTCTTAATTTAACAATAAATATTAAAAAAACAGCTGAACATCGAGTTTTGTGTGTCACTTGGCACAGTGAACGCAGCACTTGTTCAAATTAGATGTT